GATAATATAACGGATATTAACACGAACTCGGAAGACTTTGAAAGAGAAATTGACAATATGCCCATGCACTCAGCTCCTGGGCCTGACTCATGGAATTCAATATTCATAAAGAAATGTAAAGTACCAGTAGCGCGAGCACTCAGCGTAATATGGAGAAAGAGCCTGGATACAGGGGAGATACCAGCAGCACTTAAATCTGCAAATATAGCTCCTTTGCACAAGGGGGGGGGGGGAAGTAAAGCCTTGGCAAAAAGTTATAGGCCAGTTGCACTAACATCACATATAAAAGTTTTTAAAAGAGTGATTAGGAATCAAATTTCTAGTTTTATGGAAAATGATGAGTTACACAACCGAAGACAACATGGATTTAGAGCGGGAAGATCCTGTCTGTCACAGTTACTCAACCACTATGACAAAATCACAGAAGCTCTAGAAGAAAAGCAAAATGCAGATGTAGTATACACAGACTTTGCAAAGGCATTCGACAAATGTGATCATGGAGTGATTGCACACAAAATGAGGTCAATGGGAATAATAGGTAAACAGTATGTCAAGGATTTGGGAATAATGATGTCCGACGATCTAACGTTTAGGGAGCATAACCAAGCAAATATTGCGTCAGCCAGAAAAATTATAGGATGGATTACGAGAACTTTCAAATCCAGGGATCCCATCACAATGGTTGTACTCTTCAAGTCACTTGTGCTGTCCCGTCTCTAGTACTGCTCAGTACTCACTTCCCCCTTCAGAGCAGGAGAGATTGCTGAAATAGAGGGAATACAGAGAACATACACGGCACGCATAGACGCTATAAAGCACTTAAATTATTGGGATCGTCTCAAAGCTCTCCAAATGTATTCACTGGATAGGAGACGAGAGAGATACCAAATAATATACACATGGAAAATACTGGAAGGCCAGGTCCCTAATCTACACAGTAAAATAACAACGTACTGGAGTGAACGATATGGAAGAAAATGCAGAATAGAACCAGTGAAGAGCAGAGGTGCCATAGGCACAATCAGAGAACACTGTATAAACATCAGAGGTCCGTGGCTGTTCGACGTCCTCCCAGCGACTATAAGAAATATTGCGGGAACAACCGTGGACATCTTCAAGAGAAAACTAGATAGTTTTCTAAAAGGCGTTCCGGACCAACCGGGCTGTGGTGGGTATGTGGGACTGCGGGCCGCTCCAAGCAACAGCTTGGTGGACCAAACTCTCACAAGTCGAGCCTGGCTTCGAGCCGGGCTTGGGGAGTAGAAGAACTCCCAGAACCCCATCAACCAGGTATCAACCAGTGGCATACCTCTAAACTTTTTCCAGCTTCGTCTTGTGCTTGACAAGGTACAGGCTCCATGCTGGGGCCGCATACTCCAGGATTGGCCTTACATACGTAGTATTCAGGGTTCTGAAAGATTCCTTACACAGGTTCCTGAAGGCTGTTCTGATGTTAGCCAGCCTCGCATACGCCGCCGATGTTATTGCTTTTATGTAGGGCTTCGGGAGACAGTTTGGTGTGATATCAACTCCTAGATATCTTCATCTCCTAGAAGGACTTCATCTCCTATTCCGTATCCTGTGTCTGGCCTCCTGTTTCCACCTCCTAGTTTCATTATCTTTCATTTACTCGAGTTGAACTTTAGTAGCCATTTGTTGGACCATTCCTTCAGTTTGTTTTAATCATCTTGTAGCCTCATACTATCTTCCTCTGTCTTAATCCTCCTCATATTTTTGCATCATCAGCAAACATTGAGAGGAACAAGTCTATTCCCTCTGGGAGATCATTTACATATATCAGGAACAGTATAGGTCCAAGAACTGATCCCTGAAGGACTCCACTGGTGACTTCTCGCCACTCTGAGACCTCACCCCTCACATTGACTCTGTCTTCTGTTGCTTTTGATCCCTTATCCAGTGGAGTACCTTTCACTCCTGTCTGCATCTCCAGTTTGTGCACTATTTTCTTATGTGGTACTGTGTCTTATGTGTGTATGTGTGTGTGTGTGTAGTGTGTGTGTGTGTGTGTGTATAGTGTGTGTGTATAGTGTGTGTGTAGTGTGTGTGTGTGTGTGTGTATAGTGTGTGTGTATAGTGTGTGTGTAGTGTGTGTGTGTGTATAGTGTGTGTGTGTGTGTATATAGTGTGTGTGTAGTGTGTGTGTAGTGTGTGTGTGTGTGTGTGTACACTGAAGCAGACTATCACAAAACTTCGTCATAGTGAAGATTATCGCGGGATGAATATTAATTATAATTTTCCTACATTTGTGTAATTTTCCTGGTCGGTGTAACGAGGTTGTGTTCGCTTGAACCAGGGTCGGTCTCCCAGCTCCGCTGGTCCCACGACCTGGGATAACCTGCTGTAACAAGGTGCTGTAACAAGGTGCTGTAACAAGCTGCTGTAACAAGGTGCTGTAACAAGCTGCTGTAACAGGCTGTTGTAACAAGGTGCTGTAACAAGCTGCTGTAACAGGCTGTTGTAACAAGGTGCTGTAACAGGCTGTTGTAACAAGGTGCTGTAACAAGCTGCTGTAACAAGGTGCTGTAACAAGGTGCTGTAACAAGGTGCTGTAACAGGCTGTTGTAACAAGGTGCCATAACAAGGTGCTGTAACAAGGTGCTGTAACAAGGTGCCGTAACAAGGTGCTGTAACAGGCTGCTGTAACAAGGTGCTGTAACAGGCTGTTGTAACAAGGTGCTGTAACAAGGTGCTGTAACAGGCTGCTGTAACAAGGTGCTGTAACAAGGTGCCGTAACAGGCTGTTGTAACAAGGTGCTGTAACAAGGTGCTGTAACAGGCTGTTGTAACAAGGTGCTGTAACAAGGTGCCGTAACAAGGTGCTGTAACAGGCTGCTGTAACAAGGTGCTGTAACAGGCTGTTGTAACAAGGTGCTGTAACAGGCTGTTGTAACAAGGTGCTGTAACAAGGTGCCGTAACAAGGTGCTGTAACAGGCTGCTGTAACAAGGTGCTGTAACAGGCTGTTGTAACAAGGTGCCATAACAAGGTGCTGTAACAAGGTGCTGTAACAAGGTGCCGTAACAAGGTGCTGTAACAGGCTGCTGTAACAGGCTGTTGTAACAAGGTGCCATAACAAGGTGCTGTAACAGGCTGTTGTAACAAGGTGCCATAACAGGCTGCTGTAACAAGGTGCTGTAACAGGCTGTTGTAACAAGGTGCCATAACAAGGTGCTGTAACAAGGTGCTGTAACAAGGTGCTGTAACAAGGTGCCGTAACAAGGTGCTGTAACAGGCTGCTGTAACAGGCTGTTGTAACAAGGTGTTGTAACAGGCTGTTGTAACAGGCTGCTGTAACAGGCTGCTGTAAAAGGCTGCTGTAAAAGGCTGTTCTAACAGGCTGTTGCAACAGGAACATGTGTCACCGTGTATGTGTACACGTGTCAGAGTGAGAGGATGTACAGGTTCCGTCACGCTAGACTTGACGGAACATCACACAAGGCGCAGCCTGACCTCAAGACGAATCAAAAACGCCCGTTTTCAGTTCTAAGACCGTTATCCTCCTAATAGCACGTCGCATTTTGACGTATAGTCCACTTTAGCCCAGCAAAATCGTCGTACCAGAAAATAGTAGCGGCCTCGTGAAGTTCACACACACTCCCGTTTTCTGTTCTGGGTCCTCTGGTAGGTTAGGATAAGGAGCCACTTTAATACGACAGTTTCTTGACGTCGGGCCGGGCTTGGGGGAGTAGAAGAACTCCCAGAACCCCATCAACCAGGTATCAACCAGGCTGGGTTAACATAGGATAGGTTAGGCTGAGATGGGTTAGGTTAGGTTAGATGAGGTTAGGTTAGGCCAAGATGGGTTAGGTTAGGTTAGATGAGGTTAGGTTAGGCTAAGATGGGTTAGGTTAGATGAGGTTAGGTTAGGCCAAGATGGGTTAGGTTAGGTTAGATGAGGTTAGGTTAGGCTAAGATGGGTTAGAATAGGCTGTATTTGACTGGGTTAGCTTAGCTTAGTTTAGATAAGGTTTGGTTAGGCATATTAGCCTGGATTAAACAAGATTATGTTAGGTTTTCAAATTCGTTGGCGAACCGCCTTGTTCGCCAGAAAGTGACTTGTGTCGTGTTAACCCCAGCAGAGGGCGGCGAATTATTTGGTTTCCAGGATGCAACCCCCAACAGTTTAATAACCCCGACTATCTGTTTACTGCTAGGTGAACAGATGCATCAGGTGGAAGGAAACATACCCGACCGTATTTGTCCTGTCCGATGACTGGCTCCAGATTCCTTGGTTGTGAGCCGGGAACGTAGCCTACTGTGCCACAGAACTATACACTATTTGTCTTGGAAGAAAATCATGAGGGCAATTTTGGGGAACCTTTGATAAGCCGCCGGCTTCCTGTCCTCGTCGAGGCCACTCGTGTTAGTGGCCCTCAGGTAAAATTCAGGTAAATTCAGGACTCGTGAGTGTCCTATAGGAGGACATATAAGACTATTGATCATTGCAAGGTGCTTGTTAAGTCTGCCATACACACCAACCATATGACTTGCCTGTCCCCCATTGGCTCTCGGGTGACGTGTAATAGATAGTTAAGGGGTTAATCGGGTACAACCTGACTAATTGACGTGAATAAATTCAGTTTTTGAAGCTAAGTTGAATTGTTAATAATGTGAAGGTTAAGGCTACAACAGTCTGGGTGATCAGTTAAGTCTACCTGTCACCTGCACGGTAATTAAGGCTAAGTTAGTGTGGATTACGCCTTCCTTCCTTCCTGCCCTTGTTGCTCCGTGATCCGTCGCATTTTTTACGGAATTCACCAATTCGTCAAAAGGCGACGCATTTATTAAAATGAAAGCACCGTAATATTAACGTTTTCTATGTATCGACCTCGATATAAAGTGGGTTGCTTTGGTTCGCACGTTTCTGGTCAGGTAAGAACCCTTGAGGTTCCTTACGGAGTGGCTGCATGGAGAGATGGTTAATGTTTTAGTTAGTTCATTTATTATGCACCCCATAGTTAATGGCAAGTCATTTAACAGATCAGTTGAGGGGCGGAGTCTACGGCGTGGCCACGCCCACCGAGGTATAAAAGCAGGTCTGGTGGTGTGGAGGATCAGTGTGCGTGAGCCCGTCGGCCAGGCAACATGGAGTGTACCTTCCTCCGTAAGAAAAGTGGTCAGTGTAAACGCTCCCATGACTGGAATGAACTCCTTCCCACCCACGGCCAGGAACTGGGAGTCAGTGAACAGGATCTTAATTTTTTCTTCGCACCTGTCAACAGGACTGACACCTTCGGCGACCTGGAAAGATTTGTAAGTACACATGCAATATATTAAGACACAGGTAGACTTACAAGGACACGTGTGGATATAAAGAAATGCGTCGGTTGTGAATTATTGTGACGTAATAATGTGGCCTCGTTCACAGGTTTGGATGACTCGGTCCTGCCCCACATTTTGAAATAATTTCCAAATGTTATTATTAATACAAGCATTGCTTCAGGAAGCTTGCGTAAGGGAGCTTGATAAGCCGAGCATGCTTCCTCTCCACTACCATCTTACCATCTACCATCTACGAGGGTTCGAACCTGCGTCCGAGATGATCCCAGACGCTGCCTTAATTCACTGAGCTACGACATGGAGAAGAATTGCAACCGGGAACCTATCTCCCTTGTGGATTTGTTCATTTGATGCATCACGCTATTGTGATTTGTGTGTGTAATGAAGCGAAGAGGTAGAATAGCTTATTGACAGAGCTCGGGGTACAAGGGGGGAATTGTGTAAAAACCTGGTTTGTGTCTCGGAGAGGCTGCAGGATCCGTGGTAGGTAAAGTTGATTTCCCGGGTGCAATTCTTTACCATGACGTAGCTCAGTCGATTAAGGCGCGCCTGGGATCCTCTCGGACGTAGGTTCGAACCCTCGTCACGGCCCTTGTGGATTTGTTCATATGTAGTAGATATAATATAGGAAAAATAGATTGGTTAGAAAGGCCAAGTGCTAATATCTCGATTCTGCAGACAAATAATACACACACACATACACAGGAAGCAGCCCGTGGCAGCTGTCTAACTACCAGGTACCTATTTACTGCTAGGTAACAGGGGCATCAGGGTGAAAGGAACTCTGCCCATTTGTCTCTGCCTCTGCTGGAAATCGAACCCAGGCCCTTAGGACTATGACCTCCCGAGCACTGTTCACTCATCAGAAATTCTCCCTGTGTGTGTGGGGGGGGGGGGGTGCTGTGTTTATTTGTAATTACGAAAGTCGCTCGTGGTGTCCCGTCTTCCCAGCCCTTTGTCTTATAACGCTTTTAAACTACTGATGGTTCTGGCCTCCGCCACCTTCTCACTTCCAGCCGTCTACCACTCTGCGAAAATGAATTTTCTAATGTTCTTTCGACAGCGTTGTTTAGTTAGCTTAAATCTTTGACCTCCTTTTCTTAGAGTTCCAGGTTTCAAGAATTCTTTATCGGTTTTGTCGATTCCCTTCACTACTTTGTTCGTAGTGATCATATTGCCCTTTTTTCTTATGTCTTCTAGCTCTGGCATATTTAATGCCTTTATCCTCTCCTCGTAGCTCTTGTCTTTTAGTTCCGGAAGCAATTTTGTTGCAGGTCTTTGCATCTTTTTTTGTTTATTGCTGTGCTTCTTAAGATATGGGCACCATACATCTGCTGCATATTCCAACTTTGGACTCACAAAGGTCATGGATAACTTCTGTTATGTTTCACCACGTATCTAAAGACAATTCTGAAATTGGAAAGCGTAGCATAGGCTCCTCGCACACTGTTCTTTATAGTCGCCTAATTGTGCCACCAGGGGTTGATCTTTGGCTCTTTGGTCCCGCCTCTCAACTGTCAGTCCACTGGTGTACAGATTCTTGAGCCTATTGGGATCTATCCTGTCTAAATTTGAAACTGTGTATGGAGTCAGCCTCCACCACAATTCTTTCTAATGTGTCTGAGGCTCAATTGGGTACTCAGTTTCCACCTGTGTCCCCTTGTTCGTGTTCCACCCGTGCTGAACAGTCTGTCTTTGTCTACCCTGTCAATTTCTCTTGAGAATTTTGTAGGTAGTAAGCATGTCTTCCCTTACTCTTCTCTCTTCCAGGAACGCGAGGTTTAGCTCCCGTAGCCTTTCCTCGCAGCTCATACCTTTCAGTTCTGGGACTAGTCTGGTGGCATACCTCTGAATCTTCTCTAACTTTTACTTATGTTTAACTAGGTGTGAACTTCTGGTTGGAGCTGTATAGTCCAGGATTGGTCTAACATAAGTGGTATACAAGGTTCTGAATGATTCCTTACACACGTTTCTAAAGATAGTTATGTTGGCCAATCTAGCAAATTCGCTAATGATATTCTTTTGATGGCTTCTGGGGACAGGTTCGGTGTGATATCAACCCCCAGATCTTTCTCTCTATTTGACTTGCAAGATTTCACCTCCGTGAAATGTCTTCGGCCTCCTGTCCCCTTCGCCTAATTTCATTCCTTTACACTTTTCTGAGTTGAACTTTAATAGCCATTTTAAGACCATTCGTCCAATTTGTCCAGGTCGTCTTGTAGTCTCTGTCTATCATCATCTGTCTTCATTCTTCTCATAATTTTTGCATCATCAGCAAACATTAAGAGGAAGGAGTCGATACCCTCCGGAAGATCATTTACATATATTAGAAACAGAATGGGTCCAAGTACAGAGTCCCGTGGGACTCCGCTGGTGACATCTCGCCACTCTGATGTCTCCCCCCTCACAGTTACCCGCCGTTGTTGTTGTTGTTTTAGATTCAGCTTCTTGGAACTAAATTTAAAAGTAGCACGGGCTATGGTGAACCCGTAGTGAGCCCAGTGAGGTACGATTTACCATCCCTGAGCCCATGCTGGTGTGTGTTAGAAAGCTCCTTATATTTATGTGCTCCTTAGCTGACAGTTTTATATTTAGAACCACTCTTAGATCTCTTTCTTTATCAGAATTCTTTAAAACCTTTTCACATAATTTGTAGGTTGTGTGGTCGTCTATTTTCTCCTATTCTACATTCCGTAATGTGGCATTTATTCACATTAAATTCAGTTGCAAAATGGTGGTCCATACACTTATTTTGTCCAGTCCAGTGTTCACAGAACTGAACACTGGTACTCCACTTGTCACATTCCTCCAGTCTCATACATTGCCCCTAATTACTGCCCTCACTTTTCTATCAGATAAATTTTCAGCCATGTTGGAAGCCTCCCAGTCACTCCTTCAGTATTTTCCAGTTTCCAGAACAATATCTCATGTGGAACTCTGCCAAAAGCCTTTTTTTGTATCCAGATAAATGCACTCAACCCAACCATTTTTCCTATAAAATTTCTGTGGCTCTATCACAGAAACTAAAGAGATTTATTACACAGGATCTTCTTGCTCGAGAACCATAGTCTGTTATATCATTTCTCTCTGTGTGTTCTACCATTTGGTTTTGATTATTTTTTCCAACGTTTTGTCAACAATGCTTGTCAGTGATACAGGTCTATAAATAAAAGTGTGTTCTCTGCTACCGGTTTCGTATATTGGAACTATGTTAACCTTTTTCATATGTCTGCTCAGATTCATGTACCTATAGATGCCTGAAAAATCAATTGAAATGGAATACTCGGCTCAGGTGCGCATTCTCTCAGCATCCAAGGTGACATTATCTGGACCATTTGCTTTGTTCCTTCTTAGTTCCTTTAGAATTTGTTCTACTTCGTCTGGAGACGCCTCTATGTACCATGCTATTGTCTGGTTCTGTAAAGACTTCATTTTATATAAACTCTTTGGAACGCTTCATTTAGTTTCACACATTTTCTTTTCATTCTCCGTGAATCTGTTCCCCCATTTTCAACCTCTGAATTGTACTGTATCCTTTACCAGCCCTTTTCTCTCGATGACGTTATAGAATAGGTCTGGTTCTGTTTTACATTTGTCTCAGCTGGTCCTTTCTCGAAATGTGTTTCTGGCTCTCTTCCTCCCTGGCGTGTAGTTGTCCTGCGTCTTTGTGTTGCTGGCATGGTTGAGGCTTTGGTTCCTAAGCTCATTGTATGCCTTGTGTTCTCTGAGTTTCTCACTTATGTTGAACTAATCCTGCTGCCTAGTTCTGCATCTCTGTACTTGTTAACATTGTCCCTTAATCATGTATCTTACAAAATTTGTCATACATCTAATTTACCTCTTTAACTAACACTAAATCTTTCCAGTGAAATTTATTAAAGAACTTGCAAAGTTCCCCATAGTGTCCTCTCTTGAAATAAAGCTTTTCCACTATTTCATTGTCTCCAGTCTCTTGTAAAGTATTATACATTGCATATTTGATTTCCACAAAGACATGGGCGCTCTTGCCCAATTGCAGGAAAGAACTGAATCTCAAAAATATATCTTCTTTCCTGGTAAATATTAATGACCTCACATTGATGACATTATCCTGATGAATAGTCAAATAATAAGCAATTGTGTAAGGTAATTAGAGAGTTAACTTGCCACACTGGGAGAAGCATGTTAGTAGTGCCTCTGTGACCGGGGTGAGGGTGATACCTAGTGCCATATCTCTCTCTCCCTTCCTCCCCCTTCTCTCTCTCTCTCTCTCTCTCGTGTTTTAGTTCAGTAAATGCACACAAATCGCAGTAGACTCGGAGTGATGACCTCTTCCTGCAATAAAAAGCCTTGCGCCCATATATGGGTGTGACCGTGTTGCCGCGGACGATAACAGTCGTATTCCAACGAAGTGGCTGGCGTAGGATTTTCCTAAATAAATTCATATTACACGCACCAAACAAATATCTTTATAAAAATAAAACACGAAAACTCTATAGTGGATAAGCAAATGCAATAAATAAGCATAGAAATTTGAACTGTCTTTACTTGAATTCTTTCTGCATTTCATAAGCGGATTCCCACATGACTAATCTTTCAGTGAAATCATCACGGTAAAAAAGATCCGGATTTTCTGTATTGAGAAATCTAGGAAATGAGCTCCGCCTAGACTGCCACCTGAGAAACAGTACCTTGACCACTATGGCGCTATATTCACGCCCAGGATGAGTGACGCTGGCCAAAACCGTTACAGTTCTTACGTTTCAAGTTAGGCGAAACCGTTGCGTTTTGAAAGTAGGAGTGCGCGGGCTGGCCACCTGCGAAAGGAAATGCTTCTTCCTCCCCCCACATCTCGCTGCCCCTTCCAGGACGTTCCTGTTGGCCCACTCACATACCTGATGCGTCCTCATCACCTGTAAACCCATCCACTCACCTGTAAACCTTCCCGCAAACCCAGACGGCTTCAGCCTGGCACAGGAGGACGAGGCTGTGTA